AATGGGTGCTGATTTATAAGGATTTTTCAGTCTATATTCCACTTCATGTACATCAGTGGGTGATACAGAACTTTGGGGTGATTGGGGTCAACTTTTCAAATAAAGTTAAATTAAAAAGAGTTTAAGTTTCATCATGAGTGACCCCTCAAAGTTCAAGCTATATGACTTAAAAGCATCCAACCGTTAATTAGAAAATTACTTAATCTTTTCAAAAACAATAAGATAAAAAATTGTCCATTGTATTTATTAAAGTAATGAATGAACTTATGTATATATTTTAATACATATTTCTTACTTACAACGTCTTTCGATTGAATGATGGAATTATTTTAATAAAGTGATCAGAACTTCTTTTTACTAATTTAATTTGTAAACTTAATTTTGTATTATATATTTCTATTATCCTTTCAGTATTAATTTTAATATGTAAGTGTATTTGTAAAAGTCCTACACCTGTCAACCATATAATACACAGCCATGGTTTTAACCGACCAGGGGTTGAAGAATTTCTTTCTGAAGTAGCGTTACTATGATTAGCTTTAACTGTGCCCAGATTGCAGAAAAGTTTAAAAGTTAATTTTAAAATATGAATTGCGGGGGAATTTTGGAGCATAAAACAAAATCGAATATGAACATAATTTAGTTTATGGATCTCTTTGTACATACATATGTATGAACACTAGGCAACTTCATAAAGCATCCCGCGATTTTCTATAGTTATAGGCTGGTATTATCACTTGCGAAGCGAAAGAAAATATCGGCGAACTTCGCATTCTCGAATTATAAAAATATAACCAACAAATTTTAACTTGGAAAATTTTGTGAATATTTAAAAAAGGTTAAAAATGGTGTACGCAGACTTTTGCTGTTAAGTGTACATATTCTTTTGTCAAAAAATTTATAATAAAAAATATCTCTGTATCACTGTGAATTTCTTTAGTTTCTAAGTAAATAATGAATTCATTTTTATTTACATCTATACTAATTTAAAAATATTTTTTTAAAATAAAGTAGTTACTTATTTTATAATAATGCATCAGCTATCTCTCTTCTGCGACGTTCTCCGGGTGTACCACCGGAATTCTCACTAACTGGTTCCGATGGTACAACGGCGTCAATAAAAATCTCAGA